CAAGATGCTATTGTCATAATTATTCTTGAGTGGAAACCCTCTGCACCCACTGATAAATCCAAGTAGGTCAGATTCACAAGAGGATTTCATTCCTTTCATGAACCTTGGCTCTTTAACACCTACCTGGTTTCTCTTTGAGTCACTTGACAGTGTGTTTTCATGGCCTTCCTCTTCTGACCTAGTAGTGTATTGTTTCTTCCCCATTTCCTCCCCACCCGTATCTATTTTGTTTTTATTTTATTTTATCCCCAACTTTGCAGGAGATGGTGCCAATGATGTTATCCCAGGTCCAGTTCTCACTGGTAGGGAAAAGGAAGTGCATAGAAAGTTCATTCAATAGCTTTGGAGTGGACAGTTTTTACATTGTTTCAAAAGTCCACCGGAGCCTGCAGTAGTGATTTCCTGCTTCCTGGTTTAGACCCACAGGGAGAAATTTGGTCAGTAAGTAATATGATAAGAATCAAGAATGATATACTATAAATGAATCGTTGTGACAAACAGGGAGCCATACTAGAGGAGAGAATTAACCATCTAGAAATCAAAAGAGCTCAAATCTGGAAATGAAATAGTATGAGGCACCAGATGGGAGAGAGACCTAAGAAGCTTCATATCCTTATTTTTGCTATAAATTTGGGGGACTGAGAGACTAGCCCACATCTCCAAATATGTGCATAATCTGAATTATTTTCTAATTTGGCTTCCCTTTTATGTGAAAAATCATTAGGTAGTTTTCCCTTGAATTAGCTGTTCAGGAGAGATGAGGGGAATATGGAAGGACTAAAATTCACCCCTCTGCCTCAGCCACCTTTTGCCATTGGCTGTACTTTTTAACAGTTTCACTGAGGAGGTAACAGTACTTCAAAGTAGTACTCAGTTTTAATCATTTTTAAATAGCTTTGGGTTGTACTCTGATGGATGACAAAAAAAATCAAAGGTCATTCATATTTATGCTTAATATTATAAAAACATTCTCTTCCTCTTTATTCTTCTCCCTCTTCATCTTCTAGAACTTAACAGATTGTTTTCTGGAGTTTTCAACGTGGACATGAAAGAACAAGAATCCAGAAAGAGCAAGAATCAGTCATGGGATTCCATTTCTCTGGCAGCTAATTTGGCTTAAAGATGGTAAACTCAGGATTAACTTACTATTTTCAAGTTATACCTTCAACTTACTCTTTATTGATTTTAGCCTTTGAGGGTTTGTAGGGGAGATTGGTAAACTTCCTAAGATCCTTTGGGGATTTCAACAACTTTGTACCTTTGGGTTCCACATGGATTTGGAGCAGAGAATATATAACTTTTAAGACACTTTAATAGAATTAAATGGTGAAAATTAAAAAGGTTGAGAACCACTGAGATAATACTTAAAAGAGAAGTTAATCTCTTCAGTCTAAGCACAGTGGAAGTTATTGGACTTACTTTGTAGAACACCGTTAATGTTTACAGGGCTCCGTGGTCTGTGAAATGCAGGTACTGGGAAGTGGGCTCCAGTTGCTGGTTGCATGTGCTCACCATCCTTTATCCTAAAGGATCTACTATATTTCTTCTACTCCAGCCCTAGAGGAGCCTGGAAAAGACTGGATGGTTAATTCACCAAGGAGGAAATTGCTGCCTGGTTGCACTGGTTCTAGTTTACCCACTCACTGCTAAATTAGAGAGCATGAAGTAAAACTGTACTTTCCATAGTGAATTCTTTTTGTGTTTATATAAATAAAATAATTGTCCCCAAGGGAGAACAAAAACAAACAAAGATAAACCCTTCTACTTCCTTTTGTTGATTTTGCTCTTGTTTGGAGAGGTTGTGAGAACTGGGAATTTTGTGCTTTCATTCAGAATATGAGCACCTGTGATGTGCAGGCCTGGTGGAGGCTGGCACCCAGTGTTGATGGGCCTGGCATGGTTTCTGACTTTGTGGAATTTCCAGTCCAGTGTGTGACATATACCAACAAATGGACGCCAGATGGGTTGAGAGTGCATCACATCCATGGAATTCATTAATGTGGAATTCATACTTGGGTCAAATTTTGTCATAATACTTTAAAAATCCCCAAGGCAAATAATTAAGGAGCTTTTGAGGAAAAGAGAAAAGTTGCAATCATACTGCCTTGGATCAGCATTTCTGAAAGTTTTGGATTTTTTTTTCCTTAGTCACTTGACTTAATTGCTTGGCATTATTATTCACCCCAAGACATCAGTGCTGTCATTTTTAATGGAAAATTTACATTCTGCCAAATGACATCATTTCCTGTGACCTTTACTTTGAATGAAAGAAGTCATTTAACAAATAATATATAATCATTGTCATTTATAATATATATTCATAAGATACAATATATTATCATAGGCATTATGAACATTTAAGTAAACAAAGCCTAAATACCTTCAAAATAAATCTAACAAAGAAAATAAGTGTATACATACTTTTGTTGTATATATTTAACAAAGAAAGTAACGACTACAAGTAAGCACTTAAATTCAATTTTTTGTTTCATATTAAAGACATATTGATCCTAGATTTCTCAAGTTCATAATAGCCCTTTTTTCCAAAACCTGTCTTTCAAACTTCAAACTCCATTGATTTGGGAGATACTATTATAAATGATACTTAATTCTCTGTGTATAACAATCAATAGTTATTTGCTACACATAATTGTAAATTGAATCACTAGATATAAAAAAGAAAGCTTGTATAATGGCAAAAAGCATCTAGATAGAAGCTTTACTGTATTACCACAGTGAATCTCACCATCGTGTACATCCACAAGACTGGGGTCCTAATTAGAATAAGTTATATTCCATGCTTGTATAATTATATCAAAATAGACTTTACTGTCATGTATAACTGAAAAGAATTGATAATATAAGAATAATCTATTGTAATACTCCTTTACTTTTTGATTGACAAACTTTTAAAGGAAATATGATTCTCTTACTCCAGGAAGGGATAAATGTAACTGTATTTTAAAGCAGGGCATCTTTGTAGAGTATAGCTAGTCCTGCTTCTTTTCCTATTTAAGACTATTTAGTCCTTCTACTTATGGTATAATGATTCAAAGGGTTACTTTTACAGAAGAGAGACAAGAGAAAAATAGTGTCTCCTCTAGTCACTTGTCTATATCTGATGGAAGGGATCCTAGAACATAGTGTATAGAAGGTCACATTGTGAGAGATGAATAGCATTTGAAAAGAGGTCTTTTGACCCTGTAAGTGCTCCGTTCTAGAAAGGAAGAAAGGAAAGATGGGAGGGAGGAAGGAAAGAGATCAAGGTTAAATGGAATTCATTAACTCAACTTCTAAGGATGATGTCAGGATGAAATAGGAGCTAAGAAAGTAGGGAAGGAGGCAGATATAGGGAGATGGAAATAAGGAGGGAAATGAGGTTCACACGTAAGTAGAACTCAGCAAAAATACAAAGGCAACCTTCTGGGAAAAGTAAAGGAGAATTTGCACTTGGTCAGAACTCTTGAGCATCTTGGTGGTGCTGCTAGTATGAATGGGTCTTACTGGTGATGATTAATTGTCCATAAGCAGCTCTAGTTTGAAAACTCCTTGGAGTGGGTACTGTATCTTATTTACATGATATTCCATCTCCATACTCATGATATGATTAGAAAATAAATAAGTAAATGGATAACTAAGTTCCTGAAATACTGACTTTAAAATAATAGGAGTTGTGTTTTACAGAATGAACATTTACTTTGCTTTTGAAGGTAGTGTAATCCAGACACCACTTTGTCCTCGAGCTTAGGTTTCTTAGGGGAAGACAAAGAAAGAAGTATGATTGCTCGGAAACTGGCCTTTTCATAAAGCATTGTGGAATTCCTCCCACACAACTTTCTGTGGTGAGGAGCTCACTGCTTTATCTCACTACCCAGGACGGAAGAAAAGCACTAAACCAAACTGATTTATGGATAAATTGAGTATTTCTCCAGAGAGGACAGCCTTACTCAGTATGCCTTATCCAAAGAAACTAGGACCTGTCTTGAAAGGACTTTTCAGGAAATTAGAACACAAAGTCATCTTTTTACAACTTGGAAAATTTTCACACTGTTCCTCTTTCTAGTGATCACAAGCCTTCAGGGGTTAGCCTTGGTTTCCTTGGATAAGGAGCCCGAAAGAGGGGTAACTGGGCCAGAGTTTGAATGAAGGTGTCTTTTCACTAAGCAGGTGTGGTTTACATTTCCAAGGAGCCTTTGTGTGCCACTCCCAGGAGCAGAAGCATACCTGGACTCTACCACTTAACAGTCCTTGTATAGTCTTTGCTTAGATGTGCTGCTCCTTTTCCTCTTCCCCGTTGACTATCCTCCCATCCTTCAACACTCTCGATTGCTTTTGGAAGATTCTACTCTGATGCCCTTGACTGAAGTTAATATCTCAGTACCACTTACCTACTCTGTAATACAGTCAGTCCTTATGTGATAGACCAAACTCTTTTAAGACTACTTAGTCCTACCATCTCTAGATCCTCCACATTACTCAGAAAGCTGCTACGTTAATGGTTTTGAAACTGAATTATTTTTGTATGCAGCAGGTGTGCCTTTTAATTCTATTAACATACATTAATAAACAAAAATTTCAAGTTTGACTATGATCCTTGAGAGCAGTAACAGTTCCTGGAAGTGTTCCAAAATGCTTATAAAAGGACTTACCATAAATTATGTACCCAATAAAATTGGTTAATAAGATTACCTTCACTATCTTCACAGTTCGTATTATTTGCTTAAAGAAATGATCCTATCATAAAAAGAACAATCCATGACTTTGTTCTAACAGCTCTACTCTGTCATGGAGTAATAGGAGCTATCCATAAATAGAGGAATATCACTGACAATAGTTTATTAAACCGGGAAGCTTGGGTATATAAAAATATTTGTTAACATTATTTCAAAGATCAAAGAAAACTTCAATCATACTAAAAACGTGATAAGGAACTGATGAGGGAAGTCTGATGACTCAGGTTTAGCTTCGAGGGCAGGAGGTGGTTGCATATTGTGGAATTTCCTCTGACATAATGCAAGGATGAGGGTGCATCTATTCTCTAGTGTTGTGATAATATAAAAAGCCAGAGGAACACTCCATTCAGCACAGATCCTCAGAGACAGCTGAGAACACAGCTTCTAGAGCAAGAGCCAAAAGGAAATCGGAAGAAACCACTTCATCTTGAGTAAACATGACTTCCAAGCTGGTTGTGGCTCTCTTGGTAACCTGCCTACTTTCTGCAACTCTCTGTGAAGGTAAGCACAGCTTTCCATTTGTCTCAATGTGATCTCCAGGTTGCAAAACTACCCTAAATGCATTGAGAACAAACACCAGGAAGACAAAATAATCTTTGTAGTTATTTAATGTTAAGTTGAAGTTTTAGTATTTAGGCTGTATAACACTTGGGAAATTATAAAGTTTGATTAATATAGACACTGCTCTTGTAATTTATATTCTGCAATATGCATATGTTTCATATAAAACTTTAATTGATAGAATATTCCAATAAGGACAACAGTTAACCAAGTTATCTATTAATATTGAGAAGGTTTAATTCAGATAATTCAACTTCAAATAGTGCTATTTTACAAGCTTCTAATAATTATCAATTCCTATTAGGTTTAAAGATACCCTGATTGCTGACCTTGAGTTTGCTCCAATGAAATAAACAGTTTATAATGCTGATAGTTTAAATTTCTATAGTTTTTCTTTTAAGCATTAAGGATTTTAGTATATGACACCTCTGTGAAATTCATTTACATTTTCTGTTAAGTCTTTCAGAAAGCAGTTTCTGTGTTGGTGAACTTAGTTCGCATGTGTTAAATAGCACTTCATTATTACCGATGATTATGTAATACTGATTGGAAGAAACGGTATAATGAAGATGTCAGCCTAGCACAAAGATAACTCTAATGTTTTATGTAGAAAGCTATTCGATGTTTTTAGCAATAACTTTTAAAATAGAACAAAACTTAGGTCAAGGGCTAGGACATCATCTGGACCTCAGGGTCAAGACTGGATTTTCTAGAATGTGATGTTTTCTATGTTACTCAGATAATCATGTTGGGATCAGAGAGGGAGTAGCTAGCAGAGCTGTTCCTCTTGATGAAATCCCTAACCATTCTTTATTTCTTCTTCACAGCTGCAGTTCTGACAAGGATTGGCACGGAACTTCGATGCCAGTGCATAAAAACTCATTCCACACCTTTCCACCCCAAATACATCAAAGAACTGAGAGTGATTGAGAGTGGACCGCACTGTGCCAATTCAGAAATCATGTAGGTACTTTTAAAAATGATTAGTTAATTTGCTTAAGCAAACCTAAAATTTGAGGAAAGTGGAAATATCCAGGAAAATTCTAGGTACTGGGAATATAGAAGTGAGCCAAACAAAGCAAAACTGATAGAACAAAACTTAGGTCAAGGGCTAGTTTGAAGTTGAAGGCTACTTTGGTCTTAGATTATGCTTGTACTTGAGGAACCATGGTTAGAATGGGAAAGGTAAATACTGCTATTAACCATCTCTCCCATTTCAGTGTCAAGCTTGTTGATGGAAGAGAGCTTTGCCTGAACCCCAAGGAAAAATGGGTGCAGAAGGTTGTGGAGCTATTTTTGAAGAGGTAAGTTTTTTAGAAAATTATTTAAATTCTTCATTTATTCGGAGGCATAGAGTCCCAAAGTCAGACCATTAATTTCCTGCTGCTGTTTCTGAAAATCTTTTAATTAAAAACTTTTTAAAAATAAAAAGCAGCAATAGTGAGATGGCTATATTTATAACTGATAAAACCATGCATTTCAGCTTGTCCAGGGAGTCTGCTTCTGCCTGTGACCTGTATCATGAGGAAGGTTTCCTCTGTACTTCACAAGTGTTCTATTTTAGATATTTTTTTTTCTGATCTCCGTATATACAGTCAAAATTATAAGACATTTCTAACACATGAATGTCTGAAAATACATTAATTTTTCAAGAAAATATAGTTTCAAGAACCCTACTTGTCTCCTTATTAGAACATTGATAATATTGAATTATTTTATTCTCTTGTTTATTTTCAGGGCTGAGAATGAAGATCCATGAGAAAAAAAAAAGTGTTCTCCATGGTATCCAAGAATTCTTCAGTAAAGATGCCAATGGAATTTCAAACAGATCTAATTCAGCACTTCATGTATTGTGTGGTTGTGTCATGAGGCTGCCAGATGAAATATAGGATGCCCAGCTAAATTTAAATTTCAGTAAAACAACAGATATTTTTTCATGGCGTCATGCAACATGTAGGATGTATTCGTTTAAAACAACTGTTTGAAACTATGTCAAAGTTTAGGAATTAGAATTGCTAGAAATGTGATATTTCAAAATTACATAAAAATGATGGCACAATGATGTTTTCTATAAATCCAAATTTAGCTGGAAATCATAGATTTTTTTATTTATGAAATCTGGCAGATTCATATCTCATCTGCAGACCAAGATCCACGAATCTTTGGTTTCTCCTTTATTCCTAAACTGGGGAAAAACATATCAGTTTTTCCATCCTACCTCACAGGGATGTTTTGAGGACATGTGGAAGCACTTTAAGTTCTTTTTGTGGTCATGTTAATTATTTTCAAGTGTAACTTATTCACCTATTTATTATTTATATATTTATTTAAGCATCAGATATAGTTATATTTGTGCATGAATTTGAAACAATGGAAAAGGGAAAGAAAGAATCTTGGTTGATAAAATAGTATAATGATGTTAGAGTGAATTTATATTTATTGTAGATATTAAATTTTGTTATATTATAGAAAATTTGATCAGAATTTCCAGACTTAGTGGGAAAAAAAGATAATCAGTTAAAATTTATTTAATGTAAGCAACAAATAATGTTTCACTGTAGGTGTGTCATTGTTACCTGAAATTTTAGTTGAGCCGACAATCCTAGTTTTGATGATCTTGCTCTTCCCTTGTTATTGGTAGCTTGTTAGCAGTGCTATGATGAATTACAGAATCCTGAGTTAGGACTACTTTTCTCAAAACAGTCAAATTTCAACAGTAAGCAAAGTAATTTCTTAGTGACAAAAATTTATTTACAATGTACAAATAAATTCTCATAATTTGATTTAAATTATTGTTTTTTAACTACCATTGTTTTTTTAAGATGCTTTTATGAATTCCCAAAGACTTTTTTTCTACTATGTATGATATCATGGAAATATAAATGTAACTACAAAACATTTAAAATATAATTTATTATCAAAGTTATCAGATGTTTGTCTTTGTTGCTTTAACTTATTGTAAATCTACTTGTTTATATTAAAATAAAATTTGATTCAAAAACAAATATTCTGCTTTAGAATTTCATGTACTATTTATCTTTTATTATAGATAAACAGAACCCCTTTCCAGATATGGGTTACAGACAGCTTTGGTTTCCAACATAGGATGTTGGAAATTTTCTCTCAAATTCTCACAGCATACTGTTGTGCTAATAAGTCTGACTTTAGATTTTCAACCAACCAGTCTATGTGTCCGAATATCTGAATGCAGATGGATGGGATTACTTAAAGAAGAAGAAAGTACACATTATGATGTGTTTATCAGCAATTGAGAATTAAAACTGACACATATAAGACAATATAGGCTAAAATATAATTATTTATAATCTGTGATAGAGAGAAAAGCCTGTTTCCTCTTAAAGTTCCCAATTCACATTAACTCACATAGAAGTAATAAAGATTTAATAAAGTAATAAAGAAACCAACCGGAAATTCAACGCTGATTTTCAGTGTTCAGAAACATCTTTTTTTTTTTTTTTTTTTTAATTTTTTTTTATTGGTTGTTCACAACATTACAAAGCTCTTGACATATCATATTTCATACATTAGATTGAAGTGGGTTATGCAGTGTTCAGAAACATCTTGATTGTTTCCTTCCAGAGATTTCTCCCTGCCTATATCTCTTCCCAGGCCATGACTTGGGACTCTTATTTTTCCTCTGTGTTCTGACTGAATTTCATTTCCATATTCTTCTCTCTCACTTCAAGGTTTCTGTCCACCCCGCTTTGCAGTCTGTCATCCTGTGGGTCTCATAGATGAGTGAATAAGTAAGATAATAAAGTAGTTTTTAAAAGTTGTAGCTAAGCAATACATAGCATACTTTGAAAGTAGAAGCCAGGGTTATCTAACGTAACTAGTCTACGCTTTGGAAAGAAATTCTGAACTAGATCTGAAGGATAAGTAGGAGATAGCTGCATAAAAGGAAGAAGGGTATGTAGAGAAGAGCAGTCTAGACAGAGGGAGGAAGTAATCTGTAGGCAAGAGCACAACACGATTGGAGAAGTGAAAGGATTTCAGTGTGACTGGCCTTGGGCATGAAACAGAAAAAGTACTAGCAACAAAATACAATGTATTTTTCAAAAAGCTTAGCACAAAAATGAAAATTTTGGTGGGTTTCAAATTGTGAACCCTAGATGCAATTCTTCTGCGTCTCTTTCCAAAAAAGAAATGGAAGACCAGAAAAACAACTCAAAAAGTCCCCTTTTAGGAGCTTTTCAGTGTTGGTTGAAGAGTGAGTTAATGAAAAACTCCCAACCTTATATAAAACCTCTTAGTGTATTAAATACATATCTTCAATCTGGTCAGTGTTCACATGTAAAAGCAAAATGAAAACACCTGCACCAGCGTGGTAAATCCTTTTAATGAGTACTCCAAAAACCGACCTCCAAAAACCTACCTCTCAATTTCCTCTTTATCACCTTCATTGTACACTAAATGTCTTCTTCACTGTCTCACCGTGTTGTCACTGACTGTGAGACAGCAAAAGATTTCATTAGAAGGCCATCACTTAAATCAAATTGGAATTTCAGCATCATGTAAGTGAGCCAAAAAAAGGAAAAATCATAAAAGGAAAACAGAAAGAATCTAGGGACAAGAATGAGATAAAAGGAAAAACCTATCAAATTGCTGAAATTAAATTTTTCCTTCATTTTGCTTCAATGATATGAATAAATCAAGTATATTGACATGGCTTTCATTTGTATAGATGAAGATTTAGACACAAACTTGAACATGGAAGCTCTCACCACAGACCTCTGATTCATTTGTGAGATCTTCAAATTATAAATCTAATTTTCCCAAATAGAAGCCTGAATGCAAATACACAAACACAAAGAATGATAAAGTGTTCACCTTAAAACTATATTAAGTGTAAAATACCAAAGTAAATACATTGTGCATGCAAAATCTTAATTGTCAAAATTCTCATTTTATTCTCAAAATTTTGGTAAATAAGTAATTTTTTTACTGCAATACAGCTATTTTGCCATCTGGGCTGTGTTGGAAAATTTCACAAGAATGATGAACTATTCTGCTTTTTGCTTATGGGGTAATAATATAGCAAGTTAAAATTGCTTACGAATGTATTAAGGAAAGTTTGAGAAACCAGTAATTACTTCACTCAATTGCCTTAAAAGAAAGGTGGACATTGCCTCAAGTTAGGTTATCATTAACCAAAGATGTGGAGATCATAACAAATAGGGGGTTTTCCAAGGCATCAGGGAAAATGCTGATTTTCAATTTCATCCTGCAAGATTTACAGAAGAGGAAATTAGGAATGCTCTAAAAGATCATACATGGGACAAAACATCTAGCTCTTAAAACATTATTTGTTAAGATGATAGATGAACAAAAGCATACTTTTGATGGAATACAAAAATGGGAAACATTCATCAACATTTCCGCCAGAAGTTTGTTTTAGATAACAAAGAAATATTCTAGTGGTTTTGTAAAAAATTATGGTGTGGAGGAGAAGATACACTCTCAAGATATCTAGCAATTACATTTCACAGGGCATAGATTTAGCTCATATTTTAATCATGTTACAATGAAATTCCATTGTCAGCATCCTAAGTTAACCTTTGGTCATAGGCCCCATTCTATGTTTCATTTGCAGTTTTAGTATTGCCCTAAGTGGGAAAGTTTTAGTATTCCCTATTTGTGTAAAAATATACTACCAGTAGATGCCTCTGTCTAGATATAGTTTTTCTTTTTGCTTCCAAAAATGTACACTATGCCACTTAGAGCAATACCCTTGAGAAATAAGTTATTGAAGTGGCTTGTTTCTGCTCAGGTCTCCCTGGGTCTCCAGATGCCTCATTGTGATGTGTGTGAATTATCCCCCCACGGACTTTCCACCCTCTTTCCATTCTCTCAGGGCCTGCCAGTTGTGCTTTGTGAATAGCTCATTCCTAAACTTTCTTAAATAAGTGAAATTTTGTTATTGTTTCCATTCTTACTTATATTTCTGGTTATTAAAAAATTCATATTCCAGGCTCCTTCTGAAAAGCTTGACTGAATCAAGAACATTTCTAGAATAGACTGCTAGACATATCTGAAGGTAACTTTGGGTGGAAATTTCTATGAATGTTTCCCATTTTGATTTCCCATGAAAGGCATGTTCTTTATCTACTTATCTTACCAAATAATGTTAAAAAGTCTTATGACAATGATATTTATTTAACTTTATGTTTATCTTTGGGTATATATAAAGCACAGAAATATGCCTTTCTTTATTCATTATAAGAGTTGAATTCTTTGACCTTTATATAATTTTTTGTAGAATTCCTAATTGCCACTTCTCTAAATTTTGTGGATTGAACTTGGCCAAGAATTATTCTGATACCTGAGTAAAGAAGAAAATCTTAATATTTTCCTTCTTTTTCTGTTTTCCTGATCTGTCTTATTCATCTTCACTTATGAATATGTTTTATAGGCCTCTATGCTACCATGAAAAGGACACTAACATCTACTTTTCTAGCACCAAACTTTGTTTCTGAATATTTTGACTTTCTAGTTGCCCAAAACAATTTATGTAGGTACTTTTCCCCTAGGAGGGGGAACATAACTTCATAATTCTTAATTATGAGCCACACACCTAGTGACTTAATTCTAAAGATTGTAATATGGAAAGAGGAGAAGAAAAAGTTCATAGTAGAGAAACCTGAAAAATACTATCTCATCCAGAGATCAAGTCAATGTCACAAGTGGTAATGAGGTCATGAAAATGGCAACTCACCTTTGTGGTCTTCCTCCCCAAAATACATGACCTCAGGCTAATCATGAGGAAAACAGTAGATGAATTCCAGTAAGGAATTCTACAAAACACTGGACTAGTGCTTCTCAAAACTATCAAGGTCATCACAATAAGAAAATTCTGAGTCAATGTTAGAATTAAGAGGAGCCTTAGGAAATCTTACAATTAAACATTATGTGATATCCGGAATCGATTCTAGAACATAAAAGGACATTAGACAAAAACATGAATATCTGAGTCAGGTATAGATTTTAATAACAATGTATCAACCCTGATTCATTAACAGACTTACCCTAGTAACATAAGATGTGGATAATAATGGAAACTGGGTATGGGATTTATAAGAACTCTAAAATATCTTCTTAATTTTTCTATAAATTACAATTGTTTTTTAAAAAGCCTTATTTTAAAAAATGGGAAAATACTCCCCTACCAAATCTATAGCATGTAGTCATATTTTTTAAAAAATTTTAGTTGTGGATAGACACGATATCTTTATTTTTGTTCATTTGCTTTTATGTGGTGCTGAGGATAGAACCCAGTGCCTCACATACGCGAGGCAAGCTATCTACTACTGAGCTACAACCCCGGCCCAGCATGAAGTAATTTGAATTTTTCTGTCAGAAACAGTGAAACTAGAACATGGGCTATGAAGCTGAAATTTGCTGAGCATGTCCTGTAGGCAGTGAGAGGGCCCAGAGTATTATAAAGCACATCTGTACAACTGTCCGACCTCAAGTGCTCTTCTCAGGCACCATTTGGTCAAAAATCCCCTCCCTTACCAGATCTCAGTGTAATTTGAATTGTGATGATGTAGAAAACCAAAACAGGATATAGGGAGATAGACCTATGGAGATCAAATAAGTCATACTGATATACATAACAATTAAAATATTTAGGCAACATTTCACTCAGTGAGACTCATCTTGACTAACTTAACTGCTCAGGAACATATGGCCAGAATTCAGCGAAAACCAAACTCACTTTAGCTTTGCTTATAACTTCCTTCTTGTACCCTATAATTTTCTTGCCTCACATTCTGTTTTGGTAAAACCAGCTTCTGATTATTTATTTTTGTTTTCATTTTAAATACATTCCCAATTTGTTCTCTAGATGCAATA